AATAGTAAAACTGGATTACAAAAATCAATACCTTGCTAGTTAGATCGCAAAGATCCTGCCACTACACCTGATCTACTTCGCTAAACCTTTTAACTTTTTCTGAAATATTAGAAGTAACAGAATGAGCGCAACCAGCTCAGTAGTCTGTCACAGACATCAATATCCGAATTGAAAGGAGAAATTGAAATATAATAAAAAGGTAATAAAAAATAAATTAAGCACTAATAAAACATAACATTTTGAGGTTTCAGTGCATACTTAAAACTTTTACTTACTTGTAAAGTCACTTCGACAAAAGTTTTTAGATATAGAATACTTGTTTTCAGAAATTCACTTGCACTTGACTTTCATATTTTATTAGAGTTCAATCAAAATTTTAGAATTTTCAACATTCATTTCAGATTATTACTTATACTTATTTCATTAATACAAATGCAATGTAATGATTATAATGCACATGTCCCAATGCCTGCTTATAACTCCACTTTAACTTATACATATATTTTTAGCTCTCACACCCCGTGCATATAGAAAATGGGGCCAGAATCTCTCCCACATTTGCACTAGGTAGATGGGGCTAGAAGAGTACATACCATATTACATAACCTTCCACATCTGCCTTCAACAAGTGGAGTCGTAATCCCTCCCCACATCTACATTAGGCAAATGGCGTAGGGCACTTATCACATATCAAAGAGTGCACTTTTCCACATATTAAAACTTCTCTATTATCATGTTATGAACAGTGTAAATGCAACTGAATCAATAATTGAATTGTACTTTTCAATGTAATGCTTGTGTAATGCATAAATTTGCAATTAAAAGCCACGATACTTGTTAAACATGATACCCATTGAGTTTTTACCTTATCAATTTTCAACTTCAAAGAAATATTCACATAAACATTTTAAGACATTTATATAACTACTGCAATCACCATAAAAATCTCAATTGGCTCATATACTAAGAAATTTGCATGGAAAAAACAAGTTGATGAAAATCCGATTTCTTATAATCAAAATGTTCAGAATAAAGCATGCAACAACATATAAAAAGTTACGTAGTGAAACTTTCATGAAATTCAAGAAAAATATATTTTAAGCTATAACGTTTTGTAAAATAACAATATTGAATCAAAGATAGGGGTTCAAAAGTCTATCTCATGCTCTAGAATATCTCTAACTAGCTCGATGAACAAAACCCAAGATTTAGCCTCTAAAAAATTCTGTCTCTTTATATTTCCTCTTCTCTCATCCCTTTCTCCTCTCTTCTCTAGCTAGGGTTGGGTGAAAGGAATTGGGCAAAAATAGTTTTAGTTATTTTATAACTCTGAAATGCTCTTAACACTTGTAGTTTTTTCATTAAAAATTTACTAAATTGACCTAGCCTTGTGGTGCCCAGCTTCCCAGTGCCACCGTACTCCCAAAGAATCTTCTAGAATATCCTTACTTGAGACTCGATCGGCGCCGCAGAGCACACCCAAAGCCCCATTTTTTCTCCATTTTCCTGAGAGCTCAATGTCGCGGCGTTGCCAATGTTGGCGCCTGCAGAGCAATTTTCCCCAACCTAGCTTTTCACTTATCATACCCCATTCATGATTACTAAAAATCCCATTAAACTTTCTAAAACTTATAATTGCTAATCAAATTAAAGTTAGATTAGATTAACAAAAATTTACCAAAATTTTTTATGACGTTCATTATAGCTCTGGGGCTTAGCAACTCGATCGTGGGTGAAGAGATTCTGGAAGAATCTGAAAGATTTTTTTGGAGCGCATCAATGCTGGGGAGTGGAGAGTAGCGGCACTGGGGAATTAAGCATTGCAACGCTGGGAAATTAAGTGTATAACACTAGGTCTGAAGCTTCATTTCATTAAGCCTTTACCCTAGAAATCCCTCCCTAATTTTGCATGCCTTGTCAGAGAAGGAGGAGAGAAAGGGTGAGAGATCGAGGAGAAGAAATAAAGTTCATTCTCGATCATTTTTGTCTGTCGCTCCAATTGAGAAAATGGTTCTGATTGTGGTAGGTAATCTGAATCCTATTTATATTTTCAGTGATTTTGATTTCTCGTAAATATACTTAAAATGTAATATATCTCATTCTAGTTATTATCTATCGTATAACTTTTATATGTGATAGATATCATCATCCTGAGCATTTTGATTGATTAATGTTGAAATTTCACTTGTGATTTTGCTTGTATGCCAATTTAATTGAATTGGATAGTATAATGTCAATTATAAAATGATCAGAAATGAATGTGTTGTATTTATATATGGAACACATGATATGCACATGTTTACTATTCACTTAGTGTAATATGTATTTTTTACATACTACGTGCATATTGATAAGTATATTGGTAATTGTACTGATTATATGTGATGTTGGCTATTATAGTTTATATGATATGAAATGTATGTAAGTAAGAAAGATTGGCAAAAAATGATTGACTAATTCAAATTGGTTAAAGATATGTTATCCTATACAAGAGAGTGGACCGACTGACGAGTTTTTTGTTAAATAAGGTTTGTAGTGTAGTTCTAATTGATACGAACATGGAGGTATAAGGAGATTGACTAATATGATATGCCAATTGGTAGAAAGTGATAATTTCTTATATAAAAGTCACTTTACTAATGACTTGTAATATATTATATGAGATTGATTCCTAGAAACAAGAATGATATGATTGAGACTGACTCATGTAGGTTCGTCTATAGGATCAAAAACAGGAAATATGAAAAATAGGTAGTCGGATGTTCTATCTTACTTGCATATGCATATGACATTAGCATACATGATAAGTGATATAAGTGATATGATATAATGTGAGATGCATAAAGTATAAGATGAGTGATATAGATATATGATAAGATTGATAAAGAGCACATTTATATAATAAGATTGATACAGAGCATATGATATATATGAATTATATGATTACAAGATACACTGACATATGATATATGCATGAATTACATTATTGACATTATTGACATTGGATACATTGCACTAAATATATAGAACATGATATAGATGCATAGATACTATATAACATGAATATGATAAATATAGAGGGATAAATGCTTGTAAATGACAGGTTTATCGATTCCATAGAATAATATATAAACTATTTTATAACTGATGCGCATAGAAATGATAAAACCTACGTATTCTTAACCTGGTTATTGATCATTGTTCAATACAGCTTGTACTGATTTTAATTGTTATTGCTCATATTGACTATTACATGTTTTATAGATATATGTTTACATTGCTCTTGCTTGAATGAATTGATGACATGCATATTGTATCTCATTGTCTTGTACTGATTTCAATTATAGGTTCTAATACCCTATTGAATTATTAGCTCACTCTATGATTTTACATGTTTTTAGGAAGGGGCAGAATCTAGTGGAGTGAGACATCAAACTTTCTTGGACTTTCTTTTATTATGAATTTTATTTTAATCTTTTGAAATTAGGAGTTTAGAATGACAGGTTGATGTATTGATTGGCCTCTTGACTATTGTATATGACTTTTATGAAATGAGTGAAATTGTAAATTGAATAAAGAATTTAGAGATCGCTTCCACTAGTTTTTCATTATTGAAATAATATTAGTAGTTCTGGTGGATTAATTAAGAAATGAATGAACAATTCTTCCAATTTAAAAGTCTGGAGACGTTACAAATTCACCTATCAAACACCATTCGACAAGCCCTAATCTAGTGAAGAAAATCTTAATATTATAAATCTCAAAATTATTTAGGGTCTATTTTAATAGGAGTGTATTTCATTTCTTTTTTCTCATATTTATTTTTTTGGTGTTTGCTTTGAAGAAATAAAAAAGCTGAGTAAAATTTTAAATAATTTCAAATACACTCCTTAATTCAACGTTAAAGAGTTTAAAACTCACCCGAATCAAACAAATTTCAAATCCCACGTTAGAGAGCATCTTGCTGGCTCCTTCTCGCTTCGTCACGACATCATCTCCTCGCCAGCTGCCGTTGCGATTCCTCAGCAAGTTCTCGTCGTCGCCTTCAAATGCTAATCCGTCCAAACCATTCACACAGTCGGACCGGCCAGTTCGACAACCGGTTAGATTGCCAGTCCGTCCAAAAATCAGATTCGCCATTTTTTTATTGGATATTCGGACCGGACCTAATAATTTGCCCTCTCTCACAAATGAGAAGCGTCGAAACCCTCTCAAGGCAAACTGATTCTCCTCTGCTGATAACATGTATTCTTCACAAAAAATTATCTTAGGCTTTATATGAGACAACTTTTTTATTATTTCTTAAAGTAGATTTTTAATAAAAAAAAAATAGTATTAAGAAGCTGCTTTAACAAGTAATAAGAAAGCATACTTCTTTTGGGACTAATCTTTTAGCTGCTTTCAAAAGCAACTTTTTAATACAAAAATATTCAGGTCAAAAAATTGTATTAAAAAGTTATTTCAAAAAATAATAAGCAAAAATTAAATTTTATTCCTCTTAATATTTGATTTCTTAATTGATTACAAAAATGCTTAAAATTTGTATTCTCATTTTTTAACAATATAATAATTTATTTGTTTTTTAATTAAAAACCCCTAACTTATAATTTGAAATTGCCCTAATACTTTTAACTCAAGGCATCAAATCTATCCTCTAAATATGTTATACATTTCATAATACAATTCTTTTGTTTTTATTAATAATTTATACCTAATTGTACAAAACAAAGCCTAAACACACCATTGATCCTATCAAGAGCCTTCACTATAGCATGACCTAATAAAATCATTTTGATTTTACTTGAGCTTATTTTGCAAACAACCAAATCCACAAAAAAAAAAAAACAACCCCTTGTTTTAAATAAGTTCAAGATAAATATAATAAACAAAAAATCAATCAATATTTATCTTACATTCATCACAAAATAAACATAATAATACTCTTGATCAAAATTTTGATCAATATATGCAAAACCAAATGTTTTTTTTTTCAAATTAAATGAAGAAAATGTTCATTCTAATTTCCACTCATCATTTCTTGCATTGCAAATGTCACATGTCCTGAACAATGTAAATATTACAGCAATCAATCAAAGAGAGAGAAATCTTTTCTTAAATATATACTTTAGAATTCGTTTGGAATAACTTTTTTGCTACTCTATAAAACTACTTTTTAGTACAAAAATTTCTAATTCAAGAAATTTTTGTACTAAAATATCGTTTTAGAAAGCAACAAAAAAATTATCACAAATGAAGTCTTAGTCAATGGATGCTCATTTCTTAAATAAATGGCGTTTCTAGTTTCTACAACTAAGAAAGGTGATATTTTGCCTTTTAACATAATCACCCGCAAATTAAAAAAAAAAAAACTTTCTACCACTATGATCATTGCCTGATGTTCTTCATTCCAACGCAGTCACTGCAAGCACTTGGAAGCAATTCAAATTAGGAGGAAACCAGACTACTCCCTTCTCAAACTGGCGGTTCAAATCCATCAAAATATTACCACAGCTATATTATTGCTTCAGCTTGTTGTTTTTACTGCTCGATCAGCAATGATTGAAATATTACCGTTAGCAGAATCTGCTTGAAATGAATTAACACTGGCATGTTCATCTTCAAATTTGATTCTTTTCTGTTTTCTTCTTTTTGCTATTCTCTGATTTACCTAGTTAGTAAATGAATGTACAAACAAGCCATGACCGATAAGAGAAGAAGCTATCGACTGCAGGGAGCTGATTTTGGACTTGTCGGAGTCCGATGAATAACAAAATGATCAACTATCCTAACAGAGTTAATAGGATCGACGGAAGAAGCAGCTTTCCATTTGCTGGGGAATCTCCTCAAGTAGCTCAGCTGGAGTGGTTGTTTTGGCTCTGCATCCCAGTCTGGATCTAGCTTCCACTCCTTTGGCACCTGGAAAAAAAAATTTCAGAGCAAATGAAATCTATACACAAGTGAAAAGGTTCCGTTAGGACTGTCAAATTCGATCAAAGCAAATGTCGATGAAAACAAATAAAAAAAAGTAGATTCGATGGAGTTCAATGCTTAGGGGTTTCTCATCTATTTTTGATATACATGTAATAAAAATAGTTGCTTGAAAGACTAGTTTGTAATCAGTCATTATTGCTTGAAGCACACTGAAACATTAAATTGAGGCCAACAATCATACAAGAGACTCGCATTTTCTCCAATTACCATGTTAATAGGTGGAATTACTCATGCCAATCAAGCAATCTACTTGGTGTAGTTGGGCTGGATTCCACCATTTTTTTTCAAAACTACTCCGAAGATGGCGGAGTCAATCAAAACCGCTTAAAGTGAGTTGGGATGGGGCAATTGGAGACTATCCATATTCACTTACTACAATGCCATGAATGCAAAAACCTACGCTTGAAGGAAAATCTTTAACTAGCAAATAGGTCTACCATTTGCACCAGCGATCTTATCAACTTTCATAGAAATGAGCAAGAAACTTTCATAGCAGGGGTTATCATTTGAATTTGAGCAACTAGAAAGTTGGCCCGGATCCAAAATTCTCTGCGACCGGAAATAGTTTAAAAAGAAGAAAAGATAGTTTGATTAGAACACTGCATTCATTATCGAAACAAATAACAATATTTCATTCTTTCATCAACTAGCAAAATAGCAATACCTTACCACAAACATCTGTTGGGCTTGCGAGGCTTACTATTTTAAGGTACAAAACAAAACCCAAGGAGAAATTCTCAGGTTGGGCTAGGAATTTACTCGAAGGCCGGAGATGTAAAATATTTGAACAGTTTCTGGCTTAGATAAAGCACTAGCCAAAATCAACAAGCAAACTACTAAGTCAATCTCCGCTTTGATCAAATTTGAATTGAGCCAAAGCTAAATGAAATTGTAGTAGTTTGAGATCAGAGGAAAATGTTTACATATGTAATGTATGAATGCATGCATAAATATAATCATGAGAAATTATTTTTGCATTTAAGCTTTTATGACTATATATATACTTATCTAGATGAATGGATGCTACTTAGATGTAGAGATGCTTGTATGGATGTTGTAATTCATCCAAAAAGACTAACAATCAAATCAATTTTTGGCTTAAATCCTCATGAATATAGATTGGGTCGAGCAATTCTACAATTGGCATGACTTTGGCCAAGATCAAATCAAATGACTTGGAACAAATCTCAAACGGAGGTTGGATTGGTTCAAGATAGGATCGTTAACAACCCTACTTTAATGATTAAATACTAATGCTGCTTCAACAAAACAGAGATCTATTAAACAACACCCAACATAAAACACACACACACGTAAATATATTAAAATAGAAACTATAATTAGGTTATCCAAAGGAAAAAAAAAAAAAGAATGATCTTACCTTATCCACTGCAAGGGTGAAGACTTCTAAGTCGCCATTTTTAGTTAAATGGAAACGGGTAAAAGCTTTGTAGTTAGCAATGCGAAGTGATGAGAAGGCTTCATCAAAGTGAATGTGGAACCAATTGATACAGATGTACAGATAACATCCAAAGATCAGTGATACAACAGGAGTTGATAATACCCAGAAATAAAGGAAAGTTGAAGCATAATAGATAACAGATGCTCCTCTGGAAAGGTACTGTATTCCCTTCTTACAGATGGTTTTTCTTGTAACAGCCATAACCTGTTAAGGAAATCATTCAAGAATAAAGCAAAGAAAAACAATAAAGGATTGCATGCCAACAATGTAAAGTAAACACTACCTCTGGTATGTCAAATGCAGACATCAGGTACTTTATGCATGCAGGGTAGAGTCCAAATGTCCACTTTTCCATGCGAGCTCGTAGTCCAGTTGGATCTGGAAAGTGCTCACTTTCCATGGACCGATACCAATCATAAAGTGTGTGGTAACCTGAGAAAACATTGTTTTCACATTACTTCTAACAATTCAATTTACATCTCTCATATGTGAACAACAGCGGAGTTTAGTATTCTGGTCAATGGACAATAGGTTAACAACAAAACATAAAACAATGAGCCAGATTTCTAGAATATTGCATGGATCAGGGCAACTGCAGTTGCCCTAGACGAATGATGAGATATATTAGAAACCACGTTTAAAATTACGCAATAAGAGGTAAGGCTCAGCTTTTTTGGAATATTTTGCCTTAAGGGATACACTTCATGCAAGCATTGACGAGGCGAATGCCTCACCAATGCTAAGGTGTGCCTCGACACAACTAATAAGGCCCGTATGCCCCTAATTTTAGAAGTTTTGGTGATTTAAAAAAATTAGTTTACAAATAAAATATATTCTCCAAGCCCCGTATCATTATTTTACTCCATCTAAACCTAAATTGACCTCTTTATTCCTCTCCCCAAGAACCCAAATGCACGCACGTTCATCCTTCCCAACCACCCAACCGTCACTCCTGTGCTATGCCACCACATTGTTTTGCCCAACCTTGCCCCTACATTGCCTCTCATTTTCTTGCCGGTAACCCAATTTTCATTTTTTTTCTTTTTTAAACTTTCACCTTTTTTGCTTTCTTTATTTAAGGTTTTTTTTTCCTACTTATTTGCATCTTGTGATATCTTTTTTCAGTGAAATTTTCTAAAATGGTTAGAGTTCCGAGAAAAGCTCGAAAAGAAATAGAAAAGATCCGGCATAAAAGTATAGTGTGCATGTGCAAATTAGAGGTAGTGAAAAAGCATACATCCATTTGAAGTACAACTATTATGATAACGTGATTAAAGGTGATGTAACCTGTTAAAACGAGAATTCGAGAGGGAAAAGCTTGTCTTTTTTCATTACAATCTTCCCTATTTATAGATCTATACAAGATATTATAATGAGGAAATAATAAATTGCAGATTTAATATATAAATAAGAAAATAAAATCTTTCCTAAATTCGTTCCTCATTATGGCATGATCCATGAGAGTATCCCACGGATTGATCTTTGTGTCCGTCGGATCCTTTGCACTAGGAACGGCTGGATTTCAACACTCCCCCTCAAGCTGGGAAATATGGATCCGTCATTCCCAGCTTGTCAATCATACGGAGAAAGACAGGACTGTCCAATCATTTAGTAAGGAAATCAGCAAGTTGATCCTTTGATGATACATGGTCAACACTTACTAGATCACTGTCTAGTTTTTCTTTAATGAAATGTCGATCCACTTCTATGTGCTTGATCCTGTCATGCTGGACTGGATTTATGGGCTATGCTGATTGCTGATTTGTTGTCACAATGTAACTTCATGGGCTCATCCCACTTAACCTTCAGATCTTCTAGGATTATTTTGATCCACAGTAGCTCACATATTCCCAAGGCCATAGCTCGATATTCTGCTTCTGCACTAGATCTTGCCACCACATTCTGTTTCTTGCTTCTCCATGTAACTAGGTTACCTCCAAGAAATGTGCAATACCCAGAGGTAGATCTTCTATCAACCGGTGATCCTGCGTAGTCAGCATCCGTGTATACTTCTAGGGTCATTCCACCATCTCTCTTAAAGAGAATTCCTTTTCCTAGTCTTCCTTTAAGGTAGTGCAATATCCTGTCTACCGCTTGCATGCGAATCTGCTTTGGATTCTGCATAAACTGACTGACCATGCTTACAGCAAATGCTATGTCTGGTCTAGTATGGGAGAGGTAGATCAATTTCCCTACAAGTCTCTGGTAGGCCCCTTTATCTACATCTGGATCTTCTTTAGCTTCTCCCAGTTTAAGATTAGGTTCTACTGGTGTTGGTGCTGGTTTACA